TGACTGAAAACAGAGAGCATTTCAGAACTGACCTCCTCGGATTTACACTCTGGTATAAAAAGTCAAAAGTTTGCAGAAGTGCATTGAAGAAAGAAATCTATAGTGCATATGCACTATACCAAAACATAAATGAAAGTAACCTCAGAATTCTGCTTTCAGGGCTGTAATCGAGAGTGTATTGAACCACTTAACTCCATACCGTAGGCCAAACAGTATCCATTACAGAGTCCGGAGGGAAAAGGTGGAGAAATGAGTCATACCTGTCATACAACTTACTGCAACTCCATGGATATCTCATGATGAAACTATGGAGAAGTAACTGATTATGTGAAGTGATTACAAAACAAGCATAAGTGGCAATGATAATATACCCTTGCATTAAACTGCAAAACATGATTACCAGTTGAACAACTAAGAGGTGGAGAGAAGGTAAAACACTTCACAGTCACTGCTTGGCTGCCTCCTTTACTTTGTTTTGTTACTTTTAGAATACAAAAGCCTCCTGTTTTGTTTTCTTTATTATTGTTTTACTTAATTTGCAATTCCTACACTAACTCAAGTCACACTGATTTTTAGAATAATCCTGTCTGACATTGCCACATAGTGGATCTCAGTATCAGAGGAGAGGCTGATACACAGTATTAGGTCCCATCTGCAGGACTCTGAAGTCACTCAGAAGGGGCACAGATAAACCTTTCATAGTCTGCATCTTTGTACGATGATATGAGATCCAAAAAGCCATTCTTTATCATCATCCTCTTTTTTGCTCAATATGTTTACACAATGTAAATGACTGAAAATTTAAGAGATATGGCTGAAATGTCCCATTCCTTCCCAAGGTATTATTTGTCACACTAAATCATGCTGCATGACTGCTGATGTGCTGGAACACAGACACTGGAACGTTTGGCTGTGAAAGATTTAATTTTATCACTACCTTTTACAAACAGAAATTACCATTCTAATAGTAATCATGATAACTTCAGTCTATCCTTTTTTTTTAAACTTCATGACAATCAATACAGTATGTTATGTGGGGAAAGTCTTTCTTTTCTTTTTCAAAAGATAAATTCTATTTCTCTGATCTGACCCCATAAAGGGTCAAAATATGTTCAAGTGCCTAAATTATTAAGAGATTACATTAGTGTAAGCTGAATACCATAAAAATTAATTCCTGTCTTTGTATAAATCTATTTTCACAGACATTGAAAAGATTTAATTTTCTTTTTCAAAAAATGCCTAGAAGATCCTACTTCTGGTACCCCTTATTTGTTCATAACTGAGAACCAGAAAAAATGCAGACCGAAACTTGTAACTTTTGTCTTTCAAACATATTGCATATACAGCTTTGTTTTGGTCTAAATCTTACTTATAGTAAAGTAACATTCAACCCACCACAAATCAATTATTTTTGACTTTTGAAAGGAGTAGTACAGGTTAACACTACTGAAATTGCATAATACCCTGTAATATGGATTACAGGAGTAACAGCTACCAAGAATAAAAACCTCAAGTTAAATTAACTTATTAATTTTCAGGTTGAAATAGGAAAGCCTACGTCCTTGCTCCCAGTATGAATACTAATTTGGCAATGACAAGTTGAAGAAATCTGCATTAATATTTTTGCCTTTATTTACATATATTGTTACTAGTTTCTGAAAGAGCAGTTGTAAATACAATACTTCCATAAATTCACATACAAGGTAATATGATGATAATTCACTCTTCTGACAATTTTTAATATCTCTGGCATGAGATGTCACTAGGAAGAGTAAAACCGCGATAGAACCATTACATTTGACTCTTTGGGGGGCCACACTTCCACGCAAAAGAGAAGTAAAAAATCCAGCTTTATTTTTCAAACCCACAAAGTATGAAAGAGTGGGTGCAACACGGATGAACTGAGTAAGCAGTTAGGGTGGTATTATTGGTGGGTTCATGTGACATTAACAATGTAAATCCAGTGAATGGCACTGAAAAATGCAGCAGGACCTCAGCCCTGCTGATGTAAATTAGGTAATTTGATGGATTTTAGCTAACAGTGTAAAATAAAGTATTCTTTAGCAATTTTCTAAGAGACAAAGATTGAACCTTTTTCTTATACAACTCCTGAGGGGCACAGCACACATTTTCTGAATCTTCATGCTTTCAGATACTTACCTGCCAACATCCCTTTCTCACATTAAACAGAAAACTTGCTTTGTCTCAAAAAGTGATTTAAGAGGTTCACTGATAAAGTGCTACAGCAAAGCCTAGTGGCAAAACTGGACACAACTTCATTGTTCTGCAATTCTCACGCTTTTGACAGCCTCCTGCTGCAGCCAGAACATTGCTATTTAGTTTCTTATTAAGGGTCAGACCTCAAACCTCCCTTTTGGCCCGTGATCCAGCGCATTCCTTCAGCACGCAATCAGAAGCATCATGTGGCTGTTAACAGAAATCGATTTCTATGTGTCCCCCACTGTATTGTAATTCTCACCTGGCAGGTAATTGCTTTCAGAGTCTTCTACATACCAGTCATTATAAAGAGACACTGATGTTCCTCAATTTTGTCATTTAGATAGCAGCTGCATTGTTCTACATTTGTATGAAATTTCCCAGGATCATTTTGGGAAAGTAATTTTGATCCAAAAATTGAATGCTGAAAACCACAGAAGTAAGAGACCATGCACATCAGCACAACAGAGCAATTACTTAGCTATTTTCTTATTTTCATTTTACATGACTAAACAGGAAATTTTTCCAAACCTGTGGAGTTCAAGAAACAGCATGTACTCTATTCCTTAAATAACTGAAAACAAACCAACACAAATTATGACCATTTAAAATCCTTTCCAAACCCATGCAGCAGAATTTCAAGTCAATTCTCAAGAACTAGACATAGGCTTAAGTACCACAGAAAAGCCCAATACCTACAGGTATGTAAGGACCCAAAAGTAGAACCCATCACTTTCCCACATAAGGTGCTTGTTTTAGAAAAGAAGCCATTCACTGCACTCCTTTTCCTGCTTTCCCCAGAGATAGTTAGGCACTGCACAGCTCATCAATCTGAAGCAGCATGAGCACGCCATCTGTAGTTCTTTAAAAACTTTGACAGCTGACTGTCACACTCACTATTACACAACTTTGTATTCCTAATCCATGTCCCTGCAACACACAGCGAAGTTCTAGCATCTACCAGCTAGTTTCACAATGTGATGTGTTTTCACAAAATATAGCAAATTTTGCAAATTACCGATGGCTAATCAAACAGAATATGCTCAGAGTTCTTAAAAGCTACTGTAAGTTTACAATTGCAAGCAATTCATTTAATGTTTAAGTGAATGAGTTTTCCCCTCAAAAGAAGCTAATGCTTATTTAGATACACAAAGATGGTTAGATTAGCAATCAGACTCGTAAGATGTGGCTTTGTGCCCAAGCCTCCATGCAACTCTTCAGCAAATAAACTTTAATATTTTTTTTTTAAATCCTAAAGAATTCAATAGTAATTTTGATGAAAGGATTAAAAAGGAGGGGTAATAAATGTATCAAAAATATTTCTCCAGAGAGCTTTACTTATAGAAATCCAAAATCAAAAAGAATGAAAGACTTCTGAAAGATCTCACAATATCAATAAAAACAGATCTTCACGTTTTCTTTCCCAAAAGGCTACAGCCAGGAAAATCTGATCTGTATTCTACTCACTAATAATTTATGATGCATCAGAAGAATGATGAGGCGGCTTAACAAATACTCCATGTCTAGAAGACCACAACAATGACATTTTCATCTTCTTGGAAGTGAAATTTTACCTTTAATATTAAATCATTCTGACATAATAAATTACATAACTACAAGAACTAAATGAACCATTACAGCTTCAGAGACCCAGCCATTACACTGAATTGTCAAATTAAATTTATGATGAACCATTCATTGGAACTGTAAGAAAGTCTCCCCCTCAAAAGTCCTACAAATAGCAAAAATGATCTGTCACTTTTGCTGTCCTCCAAATCAAGTGCTAAAATATAGATAAAACAAAGAATTGAAACTAGAATTTTTTCCCAATGTGAAATCTTGCATTACCATCTGCTCTCCAAGGGGATGGTGATGTAAAGATATTTTGTGTGATTTCCATTTCAGCATTCTTGAAACAGATGAAAAAGAACTCAGCCTTCATTATACTGTCATATGTAGGCACCAGTGAAGATACATAATGCAGTTCTCCTGTGTTCAGTTTAAAAGACCTTATATAACACTTTACCTTCTTTTGAGGGTCACGTATTTGAAATTTAACCTTTCCTTAATAGGTTCTTATAAACCATAAGGGAGTCTTTGAAATAATCCCAATGCAACTGCAGTATTCATTACATTAGTTATGAAGATGAGAATAAATTACATGATGAGTAATACCATTCTTAAATGAAAATCAGAAAACACCAAGCACTGCAATTTCCGTTTCCAACTACTTAGAACTACATGACAGAATCTTACACATATGTGCTTTCCAAACTTCACATACAATGCTTTTCTTCAAATCACTGCAGAAATATTTCAATACAAGAGATGAGGCTGTTATTAGTCACCAATGCATAGAGTAGTTAACATTGTAAAAAATGGAAATGTTGCAAAAAAGAAAAAATTAAAAAGGATGAAGTTCATATTCTAAAAGAAAAAGGTAAAAATGCAGTTATGTTGTGCAATGAAAAAAAATTAGCAAGCTTTTGGCTACTTATATAATACATTATCATAATTCCTTATTTATTTTCCATAGCAAAAAAAGAGGTATTAGAGATAATAGCGAATTATTCTTTTGAGACAACACCTGCAATTTTTAAGTACTATGAAATAAGCCATTTAAATTCACCAAAGTAGTAATAAATCACATTATTTAGCTCAGTTTTTAATTCTGTGTCTTTATTGCTAAAAACCTGTAGTTCATAAAATTATCCTTCAGCTTTCATGTAATTAATGCCTTTCCATTTTTGAACATCTAGAAATTACGGACTTAATTAAATTACCTCTGGTATTCCCAGTTTTCTACACGCATCCAAAAAGTTTTCCACGTTTCTCCTGCATTTGGCCATGCTAAGTTTAGGCTGTAGAACAGAAAAAAAAATCATCTATGGCACAAGAAGTCAGGAAGAACAGACTTAACTGTAATTAAGAGGCTCACACCTTTTAAATTGTTTATGTACTTACAAATTTATACTAGCTATACACAATATTAACATCTCCGGAGAATCAATGCTGAATAATCAGGTTCCTATTTCTTTAGAATCTCAAACATTTCTACAATTTGTCTCACTATGGACTATTCACCAAATACTTACAGAAGTATCATGTTACTGAAAATAAAAACCAAAAGCTAAACTCCTCACTATTTTATTTTCTCAATATCAGATGTGAAACAACTGTAATTCCTGAATATTCACTTAAACCAAGAATTCACTGTAGTAGCAAGGAATTCAAAGAACTAATTTTCCAGGCTAAACTAATTTGAAGGCTGTTTCAAGGAAGAGAAAATCAATATAAAGTTGAAACAAAATTTTAAAAAAATTAAAACATGTGCATTTTGTTACAGAAAACACCAGAAGATATTTATTTTATAAATCAGCATGAGAAGTTTCTTTTTCTTGAAATTTGAAGAATTTCAAGTTTGCATGTTTTGGCAATATCATATTTTTACCAAAGATAGAAATTATTTTAAGTCAAGGAACAGCAAAAGAAATTCCACTGGAGTATCTGAAAAAATATCTTTTTCTTAAATCTGGCTTCTTGAAAATTCTTACAGATTGCCTCCAAAATTCAGCACTGTATTCGCAGAATCAACTATTAGGGTGTACATGGCAAACTTTTACCAAACTGTACATTAAAAAGAAAAAAGGCAAATAGTCTGAAAACACACAAAACCTCTTGAGAACCAGACTGTTACCAGAAACCTGCAACAATGATCTATTCAAGAAATAAACAGAGAAAACACAATGGTGTTTTCTTAAGTTTTAAGAAGTGCACACAGTTTATGTCCTGTAATCTTCAGGTCCTTAGATTTAGGTAAGCCAATATTAAATCACGACAGTGCAAGTTTCTGTTCTGTCTGCATGTAAAAGGAATCACCTCTATATATAACCCAACAGGACAAATATACTAATAACTGTTTTAAGTGCTTTAGTAGCATGACATCTGCTAAGCCATATACTGCTGAAGCCAACCTCATTTTTTTTCCAATCAACAGAGGACAGGCTAGTTTTCTTTTTTAAGGGGGTACTACAATGAAAACTTGTAATCAAAGCATTTCATACTGTTCTGAACAGAAATGCCATTATGAAAATACCTGATCTTGTTGCTAGATCAGGGACAAGGCAGGATAATTTTGTTCATTTATAAATGTCCTTGTATATATACACACATATATCCAGACAATATATATAAATGTATCATATATAAAAGTTAATGGACATTCGCATTTGCTGTTGTATAAATGTTGCCCTGAACAGCAAAGATCTTTCACTGAACAATAACATGGTTTATGTACCCAAATATCATTTGGGACTGAAACAGTAATCAGTAAAACATTTCAGTGCAGCAAGAAACATGCAACTTACTACTGCTGGTGAGGGTACATGAATGCTCCCGACAGACCGAGGGCGAACGTGATTGACTAAATGGCACAGAACGACACCATCCATCAGAGCCGAGCCCAGGTCTTCGGGCAAACAGATCTTTAGTCTCGTTTCTATGTTCTGCAAAGGAACAATGCAGGCACACTCTGACACAGAAATGCATGAATGGGACAAAAAGGGAATAAATACTCTCATCTCCTATGCTGTAAGCACATAGCCAGGTTTGGAGTTTTTACTACCAAAAAATGACAATTCCTTTATATAACTAATTCTTTAGAAACTAAACCACAACCTCCTTTATGCCGGTCACTCAACTACACAAACTTCCTTAAATGAACTCAACACTGCAATGCTGCTGCCACAATATGCAACTATTTTTATACAGAGAGGTATAAAAACACAACTTCATGCAATTAGTCATGTGACTGAACTGCATGTGACTCCTTCCTTTTACCATTCCCTCAAGTCTTCTACTTATCCATCTTAAATTTTCTTTATCAGCAGAAAATTGAAACAGAACTACATTGTGTTAATGACTGAACAAGCAGAGAATAAAAGACATAGTAGCCTTAAAATTACTCAGGAAGCTTTAGAGTAATCAGAAAAATAGGTAAGAGAAAGCAAAACATTCAGATGTAAAAGAGAAATTCTGGATAGACGTTAAGAAAAACGGAAGTCTCAAAAAACAGAATTTGATATTGCAAAATAAAATACTTTTGAAAATACTTCAGTATAAAAAAAACCCCAAACCAAATAGATTGTTATATATGATGAGTTTCCTGAACTGTGCACCAATCTTGAAAACATTCCAACTCTACACTTACAGATAATTACTCCCCAATATCTTCAAACAGATATTTCTTGAACCTCTAAATGTCATTACTCTCTATTAATATCTTACCTCAACCTATATTGGTTGAATATGAAAATCTATTAATAGATAATTCCTTTTAGAATAAAGGAAGTAGGTTGGAAGAGATTTTTTGGAGGTCACAGTCTAACAAATGTGAAGTGACACCAGAGCTCTGGTTAGTTAAGTTTTGGATATCTGCAAGGACAGAGAGCCCTCAAAATCTCCAAGCAACTTTATTCAGTGTTTCACTGCCCATATGGCAAAGAATTTTCTCCTTGTAACTATTTGAAATGTCTTTCTCTGCAATTTATGCCACTGTTTTTCATGGGTTCACTGTAAATCTTTGAAAAGCCTGGCTTTACACCTTCTCTTTTACTACCTTTCAGGCAGCTGAAGACAGTCACATGATATTCTCAGCACTCTAAAGCAAGAAATCTAATCTAAAGAAATCTAGCTCTTCAGTTCTTCCTCATACATCCTTTATTTGGGTGGCCTCACCATAAAATAGCCTCCACTGAAGCACTCTGGGGTATCATTGTATTTTCCCATTTTTTTCTTTTACTAGACACACTACTCAAGTAGTTGCATGCAGGCTTCACAACTGCAAACAAGTGAGTGCATCATGTTCACTAATACAATGTTTCATTTTCACCTTGGTTTAATTCACAAATCAGAAAACATTTTTAGTAAATAAGTACATAGAAGAATACACTTTGAGACTGTTTTTCCAAAACCTGTTACAAAAAGATTATATAAAGTTAATGAAATAAAAATGTATTTGTTAGAACACTAATTTGTCTGCTGGGAGACAGCGTAGACTAGGGTATGCTTTTTATAGGAGCACAGTGCATCAACAATACCAACTCAAGGCCATTTCATGCTGGAGTTCATAGCTCTGTGGAATCTCACTACATGCTAACTTACTATTAAACGGTTCAAAAGCAAAATTGACTAATATATGTATTTATTGAATAAAGTACAAACTTAATGATTTATAAGTTCTGGGCTATTTTCTTGTGCAGTACATAATCAAAATGCTCTGGTGGTAACTAATGCCACTAAAGGACCCAGTATATCTAAATAAGTTTTATTAATTTGAAAATCTCACTTTGTGTTTTCAAACATGGTCAGTCTTCTAGCTCATTGACTTGTAATCAAACTTCTCACAAGAAACAAAATAATTTGCATTCCAGGACATGATATTTCAGGGTGAGAGCTAAGAAGGATAGTGAGTGGAGCTAAAATGTAACACATTAAAGCAGCACTACTGGTAATACCTAATACTGTGTAGAGACATCCTTATTACTTCTCCACAATCACGCCTGACACAGTGTTCTGACCTTGTTCTACTCTTCATTGTGAGGATTAATTCAACTAATGCACAAGGCAAGAATCTTGTGGAAATTATCTATGATCATTTTTAGGAATTTGGGGACTTGCTATATACTTCTGGTAACCCTTCTTCTTTAACTCATTCAAAGAAATGTTAAAAAGCTGCATTCATGCTGCTGAACAGACTAGGGTCAGAATAACCACCAGCTACTGCAGTTTATTACTGCTACTTCCCCATTACTGCATTTTCTTCCCCACTGCCAATATGTCTGTCTCATCTAATTCCTGCATCTTGTCCTTTTGGCATCATTCAGGTTTAGAATTGATAATACACTACATTCTATCAACTATGTCAAATCTTTAACAGATCTTAAGACCTGTCCTACTAAAAAAAAAAAAAAAAAAGAAAAAGAAAAAAAAAGGAAAAATCAGAAAATCAGCAGGGCAAAGTTAGGTTATTTCATACTTAGAACAGGTGAGTGCCTGAGGTAAGACAATGCAAATCCAGAAGTCCACATAGTTCTACATTAAAAATCCCACCTTTAAACACTATTTGGTAAAGAGAAGAACACTGTTGCTTTAAAATTAAATAATAGAAGATATGTTATTTAAAACAAACTGATCATTTTTCAATTAGCCGTTCCATGAATCTAATGAGGTAAAAACAAATAATCTTGTAATTCAGATGAGAATTGAAAATCACTTATCACTATCAGGATTTGCAGTTATGTTAACATCTTTCTCTCTGTCCTGTTAATGGGACGTACCTGGAAACCTTGACAGGTTCAGGCTTGTGACATTCCTCACAGCAAAGGTTGTCATCTCTTTTTTGTCAACACAACCAGGTGTCACACAAACACTGCTACGCAGGTATTAGTTGTGTAACACAAATCCTATGCACCAATTTTTCCATCAGGTTCTAGCTCTTACATTCAAGACAATATATCAGGAAACCACCTTCTGTATTCAGATTTTCCACTGATGAAATACTGATTTAATTTCTAAGAAAGCTGCTTCAAGCATTAGTTACCTACTTTGAGCTTGAACTAATAAATTTCACTGTGCCTTTTACATGCAAAACTGAAGATTTCTCCAGCTGCTTGGAAATACTTCCTAGACCTCTCTCTCTGTCTCTCAAGTGCTCACTTCATCCTTTCTGATTAAATTAAACAAATAGTTAATTCCACCAGTGCAAGGCATGCTGATTAACTGGATGCCATTCAGGTAACTCCCATTATTATTTCTCATTTTTACAAAGTCTTTCCTGAAATACAGACATCTGATTGTGATAAAGAACTTCAGCAGTAGTCTCATCAATGTGATTTGCAGAAGTAATATTGCCTCATTTAACCTTTCTTCTATTTTTCTCCTTAGGCAATTTTCCCAAAGAAAAACTGAAAAAGACTGAAAATTCCATCAGCATAAATTAATTCTACCAACACTCACATACCTCACGTAGCTGTTCCACAAGCTCTCTCTCTTCTCTCATCTGCTCCATTTTCCTTCGAATTGTGAACTGTGGATCTATTGATTCCAAATTTCTTTGTGGTCTTAAGAACACTGTGATTTTTAAAAAGAGATATTTTAGTTTAAGAACAAACACTCTGATTTATTTATTTCTAAATTAAGCAAAATCCTTAGGCAGCGCCTCCAGCAAAAACAGTTAGAAAATTTTTTTGTCCTCAGGAGGACAGAAAAATCTAATCTTGGATTACAGTTATGAATGGCTGCTTTTTGGATATTGCTCTGGACAGTGTCCTGAGGCAGCAATGGTGCAGATAAATTATCATCCAAATCCTAATCTGAACGGGCAAGTTTTGTCAGATGATTAAGCACCAGCAGTGTCCCTTAGAGAGTCTGATCTGTAAAACACTTTGTATTTAACATGGCAGGAAACACCTTTTACTCTTAAGTAGAGCTCTCTCCTAACAAGATGCTGAACTGCATAAAAAGTCGTGACAAGCCTCCTACACAGAACAAAATGCTTACTAGATAAGGTTATGCTAAAAAAAAAAAAAAAACAAACCAAAAACAAACCCACCAAACAAAGACAAATGTAGGAAGACTCAGCCATTCAGTAAGTGCCTACACTACAAAGTCATATTGCAAACATAGCATAGCACATGCCCTTGGAAGTTCTCCTTCCTACCAGTCCTGTCAACTCTATCACTTTGCCCAAAATACAGTTCCTTGAAATCATTACATGACATTTCTGCAAATATGCGCCTCTACCCTTCCATTTGTGTGAGCAGTGACTGCTTTGAATGGGTCGGAAGAACAAGAGGATGTACAGCCAAAATGCAACTGTCCCTGTTTGTGACTCTGTTTGCCACCTCACGCAATTGTAGTCTTGAGGAATCTCACCCAACTGTTTGCAGGTTCACCTGAATGCATGTTGTTTAAGTAATGAGATGATTGATCTAAGTTACTTCTCTAGCCAAAGGGACAGACAGCACCTATGGCACTTCAGCCAAAAGGCAGAGTTCTTTCCCCTAGCTACTATAAACAGCTTAAGGCAAATTCCTTGTATATCTTTAGGCTATTCATCTTAGGCATCAAAACAGAATAAACCATGGCCAGTTACCAAACTTGCTTCCTTCCACTACTTGACTCATACAGTCCTGATTTAACTTTTCTCAGTGAACTGAAATTTGTTGCATTGCTGTAATTTCAGTAAAATCAGTAATTTCTAGAATGCCGTACTAATGCTATGTGTTAAACAGAACTGCTTTTAAATAGAACAACTAATACTACAGTTCTATATTACCAAACTCTTTTCTTTGTAATGTCATCAGAAATCCCAGGGATAGAGTGGGAGAGCATCCTGTAGAGAATGTGCAGGATTGAGAACTACAGAGAGTGACTGCAGCTCAAATCCCTTCTCCAGGGGGACAACACATTTTCATCAGTGTCACCATTCAAAAGGCTCTACACAGAGGTGCACACATCATAAATAAAAACATTCCTCATGCTGACCTGCCACAAAATGCATGAGAGTAGCAGAGCCATGCCTTCAGATGCAAAGGGCCCACAGTTTTACTGATATTTAATCTTCTGCTTTGTAGAAGGCAAACTCAACATCTGGAATTGAATTCTAAATCCAAAGCAGGGTGTGTGAACAGATCCATACTTCCTAACATTTTGTAGAAAGGTGATATGTGACTATGACTGTTCATGCCCAAAAACACAGAGCCTGTTAGAACACTGATATATGGTGAAAAATACGTAAAATGTTATTTAAAAATTATATCATTTAAGATGGCTACAAAAAAAAAAAAACCAAAAAAACCTAATCCCAAGTTTTTCAAGAGCAGAAACTCATATCAAGGATTTCTATTAACTCCAGAACTGTACTGTATTAAAATATCTGCATTACCAACTCTGTAATAACTTACTGGAGGCTGTTTCTAAATTTTTAAGAGGTGAAATAAAAATCTCCTATCACATTAATTAAAAATAGTAGCTGCAATTACTAAGATTTTCTAGTTCATTGTACAAGTATAATAATTGAGCTTTGCTGCCTCTCACAGATGAAATACCTAGATGAAACACCTTCTTGAAGAGCACAATGATGGTACCTAAAAGCCACTGTAGTTTTATTAGCAGGAGCAACATTTCAAATAATTATCAATAAAAACCGAATAATGTTCAATTTTCATAGAATTAGAGTACTATTATGGTCTTCATTCAGTTTGGCCACAGCTATCCTTTTTTATGCCTTTGTGAAGTCAAAGTTCCAAGATTTACTTCCTTGCAATTTCAGATTACAGACGAACCTTACTGAAAGGTATCAGCATTACTTTGTCAATTACACTACAAGAAAAAGGCAGGCTAATCTTAGGCAGTGTGAATCTACAATTAGAAGCTTTTCAAGAAAATAAGTTAATTGATTAAAAAACAAAATTAAAAAACCTTCACACTCTAAAGCATTAACTATAAAAGTTTTAGTTATGTACTGAATTTTTCTAGAAGTGTTCCACTAGAGGAAGTTTCGGCAGTCCTGAGTGTTGCTTGCTTCTCAGCATTACACACAACCTCCAACAAGGGGAGCCCATACCTCACACACACCTGAATGTCTATTTTTCACTCTTTCAAAGAATTAGTTTCTGCTTTTTGAATCCATGCTCAAGGCAGGTTATTAAGCAGTACTTGTTAAAAAAAAAATTTTAAAAAGGATTCTGCACAAGTGTCAACAAGTTAGATGAGTAATAGTTAATAACATTGTTAATAACCTACTCAACATACCACTGTCAAGGACAAATGGACAAACTTCCTGGCAAAAATTTTCAATTCTGCACTGAATTTAAATGCACTATTAATTGTATATCAATTTCTGCACTATTAATTGTACATCAAAGAATTCAGCGTACTGAGTACTTAGTGTGATAATGTCATCCTTGAGGCAAACCACAAAATTATTTAACCTGACTCTACTTACAACAGACAAAAAGAAAGTTGGACTATGACAGGCAGAGCTGAAGTCAGGCTGAAAGTTCATAGTTACTTTTCTCTTTGATTGACTTATTCAGTCTAAATTTAAGTAACAGAAATGTAACAACCCCAATTAAAAAAAAAATATGCAGCTGTAAAAGCAGTTTCTGCTATAGCACTCCAAGAGAAATGCTAACATTTAGAAGATTAAAACAAAAAAATATAGGTAAACACATCAAATTCTGCACTGATAGAAGAAGCACCTCTCAGTTTCTCTGTTGCACTATTCATCAGTGAAATATTAACTTAGCTTCAGACCATCATGAACTAAATTCAGTTTTTTCAAGTTACCAGTACCAGAATTTTTATATTCCACACTCACTTCCCTTACGGAGCCCATTCCTTACACATGCTATCTTTTATGGTTTTATAATCAAGAACACTGAGGCAAATAGGAAATACTCTCAACTAAAGACCTGAACTAAGAACGAAATGCCCTCTTGTGAAGAGGCTTCAGTCCTGAAATCTTGGGTGGTACAAGTGTGACTTCCAGAGTGGCACCTCAATAGTCAGACAGGAAAATTTCCTTAACCGTAAGCTAAATGTTTGCATATATCAGTCAATATTTATGGTCTTGGTTTCAATCCGATGCTTTTGACAGTTTCGCAACCTTTTAATATCTAAACACCTTTCTACTTTAGGGCAGCTGGCAAAACATGACCTACTTTGCATCTCAGTGCTGTGCCTCAGTGTATTATGACAACAAAACCCTGGAGAAAACCAAAACAAAAGCAGCAGTAAAAGTCCACTAATGTACCTGACCTTCACTATGAACAGGTTATTAACAACAGTTTCTATTGAACAGAAATCACTATTTTTGCTTAGTTGATTGTTTCAGCTTTGTTTCTTTATGGATTCTTCTATTATGGTAGTTACGTACCTGCACCAAAAAATGCAGATGGAAGCAGGATATTTTAATAGTAACTTTCAAAAAATAATAAATAAAAACAGCAGAAGAGAGAGGAGCAAAATTAACTGCTGTTTGAGTACAACTTCCACAATTCATGAAAATAAAGCAAGTAAATAAACTCACACTGAAAACAGTTCTTGGAATCAATATCATGGGAAAAGATCTTTCATCAGAGTAAAAAAAGAGTGAAACTTCACTCTGACTTTTGACACTACATATTTCACAGCAAATTAAAAGTGCATCTTCTGAGGAATTTAGTCTTACAAACACCCCCTGGAGAGTATTGTCCTTAGCCACGTAGGGCATTCACCACATACTCATGTTTCTGAAAATACAAAATTAAGTAAATTATATATGGAACACCTACCATTGTCACTGTCTCCTTCAGATGGGATACTGTAGCTAAAGTTGTCCCATGTTTGTGCCTGTGTAAGTGTGTTGAAGGAGATAGGAGGAAAACTGAGGGATGGGTCTGCTGGACGGGAGTGATAACCAGTCCAACCATGGTGGTAATAAGGACCAGAGTGGGGATAAAAGTGGGCAGCAGCATTTAATATATGGCATTAGGATTGTATGGTAATGGCAAAGATGTAATTCAAAGGTGATTAATACAAAATGCATAAATTTTGAGAAAAGAATGAAAGATGGTGCAGAATAAAAAGAACGAAGAGTTAAATGTTAGTACTTGCAAATCATACATTTTATGTGCAGTTAAGGCTGTCAAGCTTAGCAAGATCACTGTAACCATAGCACTTCGCACAACTTGTTACAACCAAGTTTTAAGAAAAAGTACCCATAGATTTTACATTATAGCCTGATAAAATCCCTGACTCTGAGTCAGAAGGTGAATATACCAGCTGTGAAGTTTCAAGGAGGAAACTTTCACAGAATCAGGATTTTTATATATTTGTGTAACTACATAAAAAGAACACTTCTCACAAAGAAAAATTACACATCCATATGAAAAGATTATTACAATTTCCCAGCTGATTTTGGAAGCAGCAACTACATTATCACTTGGATTCTCATTTTGTTGAAGGACATTCAGTAAGTACATGTACCACAGATGTTTTCCTTTCATTTTAATTCACTTAATAATAAATTAAACACTACCTTTTTTTTGCTAACTTCCCCAGCAACAAATTCAAATCTACAATGG